GGTTCCGCCACCTGCCTCACAAGTGCAAGGTCTTGAGTTTTGATCCCTGGTACCAAAAAAAGAGAGAGAGAGAGACAGACAGACAGACAGACAGAGACAGAGAAGAGAAGAATTCTGGCAAAGGTGCAGGGGAAAAGGAATCCTCCAAACTGCCGATGACAATGCAAACTAGTACAGTCACTATGGAAATCAGTATGCAGTTTCCTCCAAAAACTAAAACATTAAGTTACCATTTGATGAAACTATACTCCTCCTTGGTACATACTCAAAGAAATTAAAATCAGCATACTACAGACACCTGCATACTCATGTTTATTAGAGCACTGTTCACAATAGCCACAATATGGAACCAGCCTATTTCTGTCAGCAGACAAATGGATAAAGAAAATGTGGGGTATGTATATACAATGGAGTATATGCAACCATAAAGAAGAATGAAATTTTGTCATTTGCAGAAAAATGGATGAATCTAGAGATCATCACATTGAATGAAATAATCCAGACTCAGAGAGACAAATATTGCATGTTCTGCCCAATATGTGGAACCTAAAAAAGATGACAACAAAGTTGAAGAGAGACTATTATTAGACAAAAGGAAAGGAAGAAGGGGGAGAAAAAAGGGGTGTAGGCCCTGTAATGGAGGTGTAAATGATCAAAATATGAAGTGTAATCAAAAATGTTTAAATTTTTTAAAATGTATTACTGTAAAAGACACATTAGTCCCCCTCAAACATTTCCCCTCGCATCAAACACACATATCCCATCATTCTTGCCACTTTCTGAAGCAGCTCTGGAAGTTCTCCTTCCTTAAAGTCTTTAGTTGTACTGCTGTGGCTGCTGCAATGTCCTGGATCCATTCGAAGTATTTAAAACTTTCATGGTTTGGGGAAGTCAGAAGTTGCACAGTGCCAGATCTGGTGAATAAGGTGATAAGGACACATCATGATGTTTTTATTTGACAGAAATTGCGGTAAATGTTTTGAATTGATTCAGGATGTTGGCAGACAGGAAAAGGCACTCAATAAAGAGGTCTTCCAGAAATGCTTCAGAGGTGGCAAGAACGATGGGACAAGTGTGTTTGAAAAGAGGGGGAGTATTTTGAGAATTCATGTATGTCTTTTACTGTAATAAATCTTATTTAAAAACTTAGGGCTGAGGATTTAGCTCAGTGGTTCCAGTGCCTGCCTCACAAGCACAAGGACCCAAGTTCAATCCCTGGTACCAAAAAAACCCAAAAAACAACTTAAATACACCTTGCATACCATATGCATCAAAAACCCTCCCCAAATGTGAAACTAGGGAAGAGGGCAGGACAAGGGGATGGTAGGGGAATGAAAATGATCAAAATATATTATGTGCATGTACGAATCTGCCAGAATGAAATTCATTACTCTGTGTCACCAATACACACTAATTTAAAAAAAAGATGTGGAAAAAAATAGTTAAGGGAGCTAGGAGTGTGGCTTAGTGAAAGGGCTTGCCTAGTATGTCTGAAGCCCTGGGTTCCCCAGCACCTCTTTTTTTTTTTTGGTACTGGGGATCAAACTCAGGTCTTTGTGCTTGCACAGCAGGCGGCGAAACCACTGAGCTAAATCCCCAGCCCGCCCGAGCACCTCTTTACTTACCATATGATCTAGCAATTCCACTACAAAGTATTTACACAAAAATTCCATATGAATGTTTATATTTATCAATAATTGCCAAAACTGGAAAGCAATCAAAATTCCTATCAACTAATGAATAGGTAAATAAATTATATACAAAGAGTGGAATACTACTCAGCAATAAAAAGAAATGAACAATGTAGTAGGTTGAATTATTGCCCTCCAAAAGGATATGTTTAACTCCTAACCCCAAAACCTAAGGATATGAGTGACCTCATTTGGAAGTAGAATCTTTGCAGGTGTAATCAAGTTAAAATGAGGTCATACTGGATTAGGGTGAGCCCTAAATCCAATGATGCATGTCTTTATAAGAGAAAGGAAAGGAGGGTTTACATACAGTCTCTCAGACACCTGGGCAAGAAGGCTACATGACAAGGGAGACAGAGACTGGATGACAAAGCTACAAACTAAGGCGTAGCACTAACCAGCAAAAACTAGAAAGAAGCAAAGATGGATCCTCCTTGGAGCCTTCAGAGAGAGCCTGGCCCTGCTGATACTTTGACACTTCTAAACTGGGATGATAAATTTCTGTTGTTTTAAGCCACCAAATCTGTGGTACTTTGACAGCAGCCACAAGAACAAATACGTACATGCAACAACACAGATGAATCTGAAATATGGCAAGTTAAGTGAGAGAAGCACTCAGAAGACCATATATATCCAATTCCATCCACAAGACATTTGGGAAGAGGCAAAACTACAGACCAGGGGTCTCCAGAGGTTGGAGGTGGGGTGGAGACCAATTATCCAGGACTCAAGAGAAATCCTGTGGTGAAAGAACTATTCTGTATTTCAACTATGGTGGTGGCTACATGGCATAGAGTTGTATACCTTTAAAAGATAAATTCAGGGCTGGTCATGTGGCTCCGTGGTACAGCATTTGCCTAGCATGCCCAAGGTCCTAGGTTCAATCCCCAGCACTGGAAAAAAAGGTTCTGAGCCAGGCATGATGGCACTCTGGGAGGCTGAGGCAGGAGAATCACAAGTTCAGGCCCAGCCTTGGCAACTTAGTGACTTAGCAGGGCCCTGTCTCAATATAAAAAAAATTTTAAAGGGCTAAGGATATAGTTCAGTGCAAAGGTCATGGGTTCAATCCCTAGTACTGGAAAAAAAAAAAACCCCAAAAAACAGGTAATTACACTATATGTAAAGTATACCTCAAAAAAATTTACTTAGGGCCGGGGATTTAGCTCAGTGGTTTCGCCGCCTGCTGCGCAAGCTCAAGGTCCCAAGTTCGATCCCTGGTACAAAAACAAACAAAAAAAATTTACTTAAAAAATGGTGTGCTTCTGGGATTCTCCTTTTTCATTAGTTTTTTGAGAATGTTTCTATTTGGAAAAAGGCTCCTACTGGTCTAGAGAGGAATTATGAGAGTATGAAAATAAAAACAACTGGTGGCACATACCTATAATACTAGCTATCCAGGAGGCTGAGGAAGGAGAATAACATTTGAGGCCAGGCTGGGCAACTTAGTGAGGCCTCATCTCAAAATAAAAAATAAAAAGGGTTGGGGTGTAGCTCAGGGAGAAGACCCTGGGTTCAATCCTCAGTACCACAAAAGTGGTGGTGGTGGTGGGGTAATGTTAAAGTAGAGAAGCCTGCAAGAGTCATGTTAGTTTCGTCAGTAACAGGACAAATCTAAACCCCATCCCTAATGCAATACAACAGCAACATCACTTTGTGATCTTCCTGCCAAAGAGGCATGATGTAAGTCCATCTACAAAGGTACAACAGATAAACCCCAACTCAGGAAGAGTCTACAAAACAACTGGCCTGTAACCTCTAAAAGTGGCAAGGCCACAGAAGTCAAAAATAATTTTTAAGGGCCGGGGATTTAGTTTAGTGGCTGCCTTGCAAGCGCAAGGTCCTGAGTGTGATCCCCAGTACCAAAAAA